TAATAGGCCCTGATTGGCAGGTCTGCTGAGGTGTATTTATGAGCCTTTCTTAATAGGATCAGCTACCTACACCAGCTCTGACGGTGTCTTGTACCCTTGCAGAAGGAGCTGGGGGTATGGAGAAAAGCTGCCGAAATGGAGAAAACCACAGGACCCCCACACTGATGGCTGTCTACAGGCAACTTGAATTCCAGGGATAACTACTCCTATAAAAAATGGAGAAAATTAAAAAGAATGAGGTAGAGAGGTGTATATAAATAGAACAAAGTAAAGGTATATAGTATGATCCAACAATGTCAAATTCTACTAAAAGTATAGAATTTGTTTCCAGGGGGGCATAAAATATAAACTCTTGAGACTACAACATCTAGAAGGCATGCTCAGTTATGTGTCCCTTTTGCAAAAGGCATCCAGAGGACAAGCAAAAATGGAGCTACTTCACTGATCTCAATTATACCGTATTTGGTAACTGTAAATGATTTCAAAATTAATGATCAGCCGGATGTGCAAAGCAAGTGTGGGAGTGAAGCTGTCTAGCAGCGAAGACCACTGGGGAAACCCTGAACTAGAGGTGTGTTTCTCTCTGCATTTCTGTCTTTTCACAGCCCTGTCTCTGGCAGGTTCCGAGATCCCTACACCGCTAGTTTTGTCTGTTTAGGGGGTGTGGAAATATTGGTAGAATGAAGAAATGGACTTGTGGGTGTAACTTCACACTTGAGGTGTGTTTAGTCATTGACTCTCCCCATGAGTCCTCGAAGCATGTTAGTGGGTAGAGGATTATGTGTCAATGCACTCTGGAGATTCAGAGCCCAGGGTTAGCTTATGCTTGGTGACTTTGCTGGTCAGCTGGGCAGGAGGACTCATATACTTCATAAACACCAGAGACTAAACAGTGTGGCGGAAGGATTGGAGGACCCTGGTGCTAGCTGCAAGAATAAAATGGGTTAAAAACCGGGATTGTAGTCAAGGGAAAAGACATCACTGAGCTGAGAATTAGCATGTGAAGGGATAAAAATGACACAAACAAGAAGAAATCATCCCTTTTGTTGAGGAAACCAAAAAAAAAAAATACCCTTAATGTCCGTGTTTGGAAGACAATACATCTCAGACACAGACGCATCTAGGACAGCAGCTCCAGCCCACCCGGTGGCTACATCCTATCCCACAGGCTCAGCCTTGACCTGCCAACTTCCCAGCAGCCAAATCCCCTTATCCTTTATGGTGGCTTCTATCCCATGACCTTCCATGTCACTATTGCCTTCTGACCTTTTAAGGACAGGTCCTAAGTAAGTACTTCCAAACGAGACAGCTTTGGCAGGAATTAAGATCTGGTTTACCGGAGAACCACATGTTACTTGTGTAACTTACAAGGCTACTTCTCAGCACCGCAAGACTGGGATAAAGGGAAGGCAAAAAGCACAGGCAGGGAAAAGGTTTCTGGTAGGCTGAAGCAGAAGCCCTGTTCTCTGGGGGGAGAGGGGAGCGGGAGCAGGAAGGGAGCTGTGACTCTTCACGCATGAGCTCATTTGCTCTGTACAGACCCCCTGCACACATTAACCACCTCCCCATTCACAATGGGGGGGGGGCGGGAGTGCAACTCACATCTTGTTCTGGAAATTAAACTTCAAAACTCCTTGCCTCTTTCATTCCTCTTCATTTTCACCCTTGTGAGGTAGAAATTAAAGACTATGACATTCGAAAACAGCCGTGTACATTGTATAAATTAGGAAGTCTCCACACACACCCAGACAGAGGACAGGCCCTGGAAAGACGAGAAAAGACTTCCCATTCACACCTGACACGGATCCTTGGCACGGAAACCGCCTATAACTCCAGAACACAGATGCCAACACGTTTAACAGTAGCCACATGGCTGAGGAGATGGCTCGGCAGGTGAAGTGCCTGATACACAACCAAAGGCCCGAGTTCCCATTCTCGCCACCCAAGTCAAAGCTGGGTGTTGAACCTGAGACCCAGCACTGGAGAAGAAGAGTCAGGCAGATGCCAAGGGCTCGCTGGCATAAGCTCCGGGGTCAGTGAGGAGCCTGTCTCAGAAACCAAGGTGGGAAAGGACAGAGGAAGAAGCCTGACCCTGACCTCTACACACATGCACAGGCATGCGGGCCAGCACACGCGTGCCACACACAGATAAATAGCATTGCTAAGATGGACAGGAGGGCAGAAGGTGGAACAAGGGAAGCGGATAAGGGGCGGGCAGGGGTGGGGTGAATGTCAGTGAAGGCAAATAAACTAATGTATGAAGTGTCATAAGGAAAATCATTACTTCCAATGCTTACTAAAAATAATGTTTTCTGTTTTAAAGGAGCAATAAAAACAGTTAAAGTGGTGAATTTTAGGTAATGTGAAGTTTATCATAATAATGAATGGAAAGATGTCTGTATACCGTATATATGTATATCTATAAAACATTGCAGGTTGGTTGTACATGATACAAGCCAAAAAAATCATCAAAGGGAAAAACTAAACCAAACAGCACTGAAATGAAAAATTGTGCCTCAAAATGTGCCAGGGTGTTAAAAGATAAATCATAGACTAAGAGAAAAAATAGTTAGTTCATAGAACTGATAGATGATTAGTATTGAGAATATATAAAATTCTACAAATCAAAACAAAAGTTCAATAAATGCCCTGGGAAAAAAATGACCAAAACATCTGAAGAATTATTTACAGCAAACACTCACCCACAAATACGTGAGGGGCTCGGGCTCACTGTGCATCAGGGCAAGCCCAGCCATTGAAATTCCCCTGTGGACCCACAAGACAGGAAATGAAATCAGGCACCATCAAGCACTGGTAAGTACAGAGACAGCAGGAACTCAGGAACAGAGGCAGGAGGATACGTTGGGGCGATCACGACAGGGTACTCGGCCATACTCAGTAGGGAGTGGGTGTGCCTTGTTCAACATACTTATCCACAAGTATAACAGGTTTCCGAGGTTTTCAAATGATAACGTATTTCAGCAGACCTGAAAGTTGAGCAGTTAGAACCAGAAAACATAGGGCATGAAAGGTTCGAAAGTCTGAACTATTTAAAGAACATGTGAGCTGCCCTGAAGTGTGCCCGCTTCGGCTATTTGCGTTAGGAATGTTCAGCACGCATGTCTCTCCTTTCCAAAAATTCCATGTCTTAAGAGATTATGCTATGTGGGTATGAAAAGATGTTCTCAAGAGTGACGTCGGGCCATTCCTGAGTACTAACATGCGAGCAAACATATTTCAGAGAGACAATGTGTGGTCCCCCTTACTATCATGGAAACGTGAAACTCGGTCTCCCTAAAATGGAGGATAAATATATACTGACTGAATGACTGCATATTTGTTATCACATTATTTATTTATTGTGTTATTTATTTTCCCTATAACTATGATAAATATTTGCCTAAGAAAAGATCGACAATGTCATATCTATAAAGTATTATATGGAACACTCCGAAGTTGTATATTCTAAACAAAGCTCCCAGTGGATTGCTAATCCTGCTTTATCTTCTAGCTTTGTTTTCCCAACAGAACTGCCAGTGCATATAGCAGAATTCTTAATGACTTAAGCTAACACTTCTAATAACACTCTCATACCCTGCTGTTTAAAACAAAACAAAACAACAGCAACAAACCCCCACAAAACTGAAAATGTGAGTGCTCTCATAACCAGGGGTGACAGCATATATCAACTGTCCAGGGACACAGAAACTACCCGGCTCATCTCCTGTGCTTGTCTTAGAAAGGATAACTGGGGACAGCAGACAGGGAGATGGCCCTGGCAAAGGCATGCAGAATCAGCAGAGTCCTCTCTTAGCTTCTCACAATAGCACAACAGCACGGAGAGGAGGGACGCTTGCAACCCTGTCCCTGGAGGAGAAGGGGGACTCCAGGAGTGATCAAAACCAAAGCCTGACCCTCAGATACATCCAAGGGCAGCTGGTACATCTCCTGGAACCCAGGTTACAGAGCAGTGCTTGAGAGAAGGCTGTTACCGATGAGCTGGGAGGCTTTAGCAGTGGCTGTGTATGTTGTGTGTGTGGAGCTGATCTTCTGTGGTCTGTTTATGTGTACAATGACACTACTGAAGAGTGAGATGCCTTAAACATAGTTCAAACCATGACGCTCTATGTGCTAAGTGGGAGAGAATACCTCGGATGGATACTTACTCGCAAGTTCCATTCAGCCACAGGTAATTCCTTTCTTTTTTTTCTTTTCTGGGTTGGGATTATAACTGAGCACTTTGTACATTCTGGGCAAGTAACTCTGCCAGAGCGATACCCCAGGCACCTAAGCACAGACCTTAAAGAAACAACTGACTTCTCTTCAAATGAAGCAGTCAGAGGGTATGACCTGGGTCGTTAGAGGAGTCTCAGTCAACCAAGTCTCTTAAGCCAAATGCTGAATGCCGAGCTAATGCTGTCTCGTGACTCAAAACACCAAATCTTGTGGACTTACTAGAGCATTGGAAAGAAATCATCAAAGTCACAGGACTCTTTAAGCTCAAAATGCTCCAGATTCTTATTCCAAAGATGAGGAAATTGGGGCTCAAGTGGGTTGAACAGCTATAAAAAGTGACCACTGTTTCTTCCAGGTAACTCAAGTAGTTAAGAAAAAGCTGACTCATAGCTGGCCTTCTGCCCGCTAACCCTGCCCCACTACATCACACAGCCCCCACTGACTTTCCAGAGGAGGAAGACAGTGGCATTTGCTGAAGCTCCACCCTCTCCTCTGACTCCCTAGGAAGCCCTGCTTCCTGTGTCTACCCTGGAGTGCTGTATTTGTGGTGAAGAATTCACCCTCATGCAGAGGCCATGAATGCCTACTGCTTTCTAAGAAAGCACAGGAAGGCAGCTCTCTCAAAAGAACTGAGGAAACACTTCATGAAAATAAAGTGAAGGACTCTGTTAGTACGGCACAAGTGAAGAAGGAAGGAGAAAGACCTTCTGTTTGTCCTTCTTGAGCAAACACTGTCTGCCAACAGAGATGGTCTCATCACTCACCATGGAACCAGGGAGCAATGGTGTCTGAGTTTTTCTGGTAACCTGCACGGAATGGCAGTTGTTCCTCTTTGAACCATCGGATGATGGACTCCTGGGTGGAGCTGGACTCTGTCCGTGTCACTCCCTGATTCCTGTGATGGGTAAGATGATTCTCAAGTTAGAGCTAACTCATTGGAAATCATGTCCTCCATGTCTTGCTCAGCCGCCATCAGAGACGCTTCCTCCTCCAGCAGATGGGAACATATACAGAGACCCCACAGCCAGACAACATTCAGAGGGTGAAAGGTCTTGGAACACTCAGCCATAAATGTCTTCATCAAATCCCTACCCTCAGGGCTCAGGAAGCCATGTGGACAAGGACACCGGAAGAGTGTAATAGCTAGGGGTGTGGGTGACACCGATAAAAGTGTCTTCTAGACTCTGACACACACATGAACTCAGAGGCTGTGGTCGCATGCACAGGGCTTACACACCAGAGGCTGTGGCCGCACTCACAGGGCAGCGTAAAATAAATTGAACGGTGTTTTAGGAATAAATTATTTTTGTCTTATAACGTTTTTGGGGGCATTTTTTCAATCTCACTGGCCTTTTTATTGTATATTGTGATTTCCAATTTTCTGTTTTTATGGGTTTTATTTTCGTGTGTTTGTCTTACACTTTTTCACTGCTTATTTTTTATAAATTCTGGATTGTTTGCTTTTCTATCTGCTTGCTTATTTTCTAAAGAGAGAAAGAAAGTATAGAGTTGGATGGGTGAAGATGTGGGAAGGACCTGGGAGGAAATTAGGGGGAGGAAGCTGTGATCAGAATATATTGTATACATTTTCAATTAAAAAAAATCAATGGTAATTTATGATAATCTGATTATAGATGTGATATTTCTATCTGTGCTAAAGGAGAATTAAAGTTTAACTGTAATTTAAGGGAAAAAATGATCCATTATATATGTATATATATATATGTGTGTGTGTATAGCCTCACATACAGACGCATGTATGTGCACATGTATACGTGGTGTATATACATATATATGCACACATAAACTGGTCTGCATCAATTCAAACACTGGAGGACTGAAAATACTCAAAGAAAAAATTTCTACTGTACTAAGACATTTTGCTTGTCCTTATTCCCCAAGCAATGCTGTATTTACTCATTTATATAGCGCTTACATGATATTAGTCACTGCAAGAGACTTAGACATTATTTAAAGTACAGGCAGGCTGTGCATGCATTACATGCAAATATTGCCCCATTTTATACAAGGGGCTTGAGCATCCTTCACGTTTTGGTCTCTTCAAGGGATCTTGGGAATTGTCCCCATTGATACTGAGGGGACAACTTTATACAGAAAGGGAGAGGGGAGAGGGAAGAAGGAAAAGGGGACAGGAAGGGGAGAGAGAGAGGGAGAAAAGAAGGGAGGAAGTGGTGAGAGAAGAGAATTATATGCATTTCTATTTCCAACATCTAATCACAAGGCAGAGCTAATGGTAGGTTGGGCCCCCTACATGCCACCATTACATGGTTCTTCAAGATCAGAGAAAGGGAAACACATTCATCTGTCTGCTCCTAAAGAACCAGTCAAAGCGATAACCACTACTGTGTTAGATTCAAATTCACTTTGCTATGGGTTAGAAGACCCACTAACTCCCAATTAACATTGGAAAAGAGAAGCACTCAGAAGTCAAAGTTGTTTTCCGGGAGAGACTGGATGTGCCAACAAAGACAAGCACATGGAATGAGGTAGCTGCCTCCCTCGCTTGTTTATGCCTTGCTTCTCCGCTTCTTTCTCGGCTTCTGCGCATCTCTCCCTCTCTGAGGAGGTTTATTTCTACTAAGAGATGCTCTTGGGAGAAGAGGGAAGATAAGTGACAACCCCATCGTGGAGTGAACTCAGCATCAGAACTATCAGAACAGGGTTCTAGGGTGGGTGTGCTCCACTTCAAAAGGCAGAAGCAGCAACGTAATAAACAGACCCCAAATCCTGCTCGACAGCCGCTGGATGAGCAGAGTCTCAGTCTAACACAAAGACACTGAGTGAGCTATGGAAATTTCCTGCTGTACTAACTGGCATGATTTTTTGTGATTCTGCTGGCGCGATTTCGTGCCAAGGGTTCTATGTGACATGTCAACTCCGCAAACATTCATGCACGTATGCAAATGTGGCTATGTATTATCATTTATGACATTCAGAGGATTTGAGAGAAAATGTCTTATAATATTTGACTTTCTCAGGAAGCAGACTTGGCACACACAAGATATTATTATATGACAAATTTTCACACTAGTTTCCACATGAACTTCCTTTTCTACACATACTACTCAGAAACAGAATAAAATTTCACATACATGGGACAGGCCACTGTCTGTCTTTCTCTGGGCTGGCTCCTAGCTGGCTTGTGTCACAGTTGCCCAGAGTCCCAAGCTTCGCCCCAACTGCTCTGGCACACAAGAGAGCTCTTCATACAGTGTCTAAGTTGGAAAAAATGAGCTGAACACAACTGACAAGAACTGTCTGCTACCCTTTAAAAGGCCACCTTCACTGTCATCCATCAAGTACATTAAAAAATAAAGGAAAGAGACATGGTGTGAGCCATATCCCATGCTGCCCCAGGAAGGTGCTGGAAAACAAGACACAGCCACCATGAAGCTCTTTAAGCAGAGTTACACTAGGTGGGGCCACGGCGGGAGTCTATTTGTGGCCTGCTCCAAAGTTAAGGAGGTGTGTGTTTCCCGACTTTTTCTTTTTAACTGTAAGGGAAAAATAAAAAACAAAACCTCATTTTCCAAACCATGTACAGGGTCATTTAGTGTTGGTCACCACATCTCAATATAGAACTTTCTGTGGAGTAAGAAGAAAAAATATTTTTTTAAAAAAATTAAAAACAACAGAGATTGTTTCATTTTTCCAAACTCTTAATAGAGAAGTACTTTCAGTTTTAGTTTATATTAGATGCAGTTTGTATCATGCAATCAATAATTGATCTTAGACATTTCTTTCTAAATATCGAAATATTATGGCTGGAGACATAGCTCAGGGGTTCAGTGCTTGCCTGACATGTGGGAGGCCCTGAGTTTGATCCCTACTATATACAAACAAATAAACATTAGAATAACAATCAGTAGTCATTTAAAAAAGAATCTGATAGACAGGAAACACAAGGGGTAGGGTTTTATTCCAGGTATATTCTTTTTGTGCCGATATGCATTGTGCCTAAGAGGTAAAGGTACTTTCACCACAGAATAAAGACTTGGTTCCAAGATGGAGCATTTTAAAATTCTGAAAATATGGCCTTGACTCTGCATCTTAGGAAGAGAACTGCCATCAAACCCTGACTCTTCAGCAATAAAAAGCAGTCCCAGGGATGTGGAGAGTCCACCTGCTTGCAAGGGCCTCCTTTTTTTTGACCACTAGAGGCAATGTTGAGCATCATACATCCGCCCACCTTCCAGGCTCCTGTTTCTCTTTCCTGTTAGCTTGTTGCCACAGGGTGTAGGTGGTAAACAGGAAATCATCTAACTAGACATCTTCACCCTGGGGTGGGGTTCTAATTATAGCCATTGTGGAACTCTTCCAGGGAAGAAAATGGGGTTAGAGGTGAGCCTTCATTGACCTAAGCAGGAAGCCAGCCCTCCTGTCCCAAGATAAAGTTTTAATCAGCACATTCTGGTGCTTATGATGAAAGCCATTCGTGTGGTTTCTTACCCTAAAGACTGTGGAGAGTTTCCTAGTGGGTGGAAGAACTGGGGCTTCGGGGGAAGAGGGGGTCTTCTGGGCTTCTGTGGACCAGCCAGAGGGTTCTGCATCCCCTCTCCGCTCCTTCCCCTTTGGGAAAGCCTCTTGTAGTCTTCCCGTGCTTGCTTAGCTAAGGAGCGTCTCTTCTCATCAGCTGCTTTGGATTTTCGCACTAGAAAGAGAACAGTACCCGAGAAAGTCCATCAGACTTGCCGAAGGTCACACTCAGCGTCACAGACAGGAGATTCAGCCCTTCACAGTGGTTCTCTGGGAAGACTCCTGGCAGACTGGCCTTGTGCTTGTACAAACAATCACTGCCTGTACCTAGTATCACCTTTGAAGGTTCTCATAGGCTGGCTGAGGCATTCCTATCTGCAGCATCTTTTCTGCATTTAGGAACTGCGGACTTTCAGAGGAGGGGAGGAAAGAAAGACAAAAGAGGAGCGAAGTGGAAATGGAAAGTACGTAGCAAGATCGTTATTCACTTAGCAGGACTAAGTGTGAGACCTGGTCAGAGAGACTTGGAACACAGAGGCCAGAACCACATCTGTGATATAGACATGGTCAAGGTGCGGTGTATCCCAAGTCATCACATCCCTGATACACACATGGTCAGGAGCAGTGCATCCCAAGTCAGCACATCCCTGATCCATGCACGGTCAGGATGCAGTGTATCCCAAGTCAGCACATCCCTGATATATGCATAGTCAGGAAGTAGTGCATCCCAAGTCTCCAGCAGAGACTAGGAAGGCAGGACTTCTCCACATCAGGTGGGTTAGGAAAGAACAGCTTGTCAGATCCAGAGCCCACCACAGGCTTAACTGGACACGAATAGGCCAAAAAGACAGAAAGTAAAGGAATTATTACCCACAAACATGCTGTGGATAATTTCAGAGCACCTTAGTAAATACAAAAAGCTCTTCCCAGCGTACCTTTGAACACTAATAACTTTCTAAAATAGAGGGGGTTGTCATGTTTTAGGAATATAGTGTTAAAAATTAGTGCACAATGCAATAATTATTTTCTTTTTTTTCATGTTTTTTTTTTTCAAGACAGGGTTTCTCTGTGTAGCTTTGGCTGTTCTAGAACTTGCTCCGTAGATTAGGCTGACCTCGAACTCACTTCCCAAATACTGGGGTTAAAGGCATGTATCACTACTGCCCAACTTCAAAATTTGGGGTTTTGCTTTTTTTTTTGCAATAACCATTTTCATTGAGGTTTTTGTAAATATTAGGAATCATGGGTGAAATATTGTCATGTTTGACATTGAAAACATACTAAAAACATTTTATCATGCCAGAGTTTCAGTGCTTAGCACAAAAAGGCCACAGATTAAATCTTACAAATACTTTTGTTTCACAATTTTTTTAGCAGTAATGGAACTGCAGATCAATTCAGGATTCTTAGCAGCCTGAAAATCATGCTGCTTAGGCTCTGTCTCCCTGTATCAAGCAACTATCAGGCAGTCGAGTCTTCTCTGCAGATGTCAAGCGAAGACTAGTCCATTCTTAGGCCCCGATTGTCCATCTCTGCCTGTCCTGTCTTCCTGGTCTGGTCCTAGCAGTCCAAACTCAAGAGAGTCGATGTTGGGTCAGAGGCAGGGAGTCACGACACAGATGCCTCTATATCCCACCTGTCAATCCTGCATACACTGTATTAAAGTTCTATGGTGGGCATATCATACTGTTCCCCAGAAGTTAAAAGAAGAAACTACTCTCAAAAATAAACACTATGGAGAACTTGGGAAGAAAACCAAAGCCGAAAAACAAGGAGTAAAATTCAAATGAATAATTTAAAATCCAGCTTCTCAAAGAAAATCAAAGTTCATGTGTAAATAATATGTAAACAATCACCCTGCTCTCGCCTTCATAATGTAGAATTTTAAAACAGTAGCACTTTATACTGTTTACAATTCTTTTCTCCTGGAAAGAGATATATCTTAATGTCGTTGAGCAGTCCTCCTGGGATAATTTCACAGCTACATACACTTCCACCGTATAGAAACATGAGGTCATGATATGGAGATGACTAGAAAGCCATTCTGCTACTCGGGCCTCTGAGTAATTGTCACCTCGTGATAACCTGAGTGATGACTCCCCGGAAAGACACTTCTCAAGGATGCATTTCCGCCCCTCCCGGGTGAGTCGTCTAGGTGGAAGGCCCAGCTGAGAGCCTGGATGCTGCTTCTGAGACCCAGTACTCACACGATGCCTGCCATTCGGAATCCTCTTTCCAGCTCTTGTATATCTGCTTGGTTTTCTCATCCTCTGTTTGCTTTATTTCCTCATCTTTTTTCTTTATGGGTTCTTTAGTCTGAAAATAAAAACAGAGGTGGGAAGTAGTGAATGAACGTCGCAGTATCTTCGGGAGGACAGAAGGCGCCCACCCTGGCTCTGTTAACTATCTCTGGCCCACTTGAGAGGTTCTTGGTGTCAACATTGCCCAAAGCAAGAGCTTCAGCTACCTCAGTGTACTCTAGACTCAGGGACTCTAGACTCTGCTCCTGACCTTCCCATGGGCTCTTTCCCCAGAAGTGAGAAAGCACACTACATAGAGTTACTGAACATCCATGTTTTAGGAGTGCCTAGCACAACGCACAGCACATAAGACCTTTCTAAGCAGTCCTTCCCCAGATGGCACACTTAGCTCTTCCAAATACATGCTTCTGAATTGAAAGAACCAGCATAGACACTGATCTGATGTAGCTAACAGCCTCCCAAGAGCAATCTCAGCTGAGTGGGGCCTAAATGTTCTCCAACCGTGTATCCAAATAAAAGAATGTGATGTGTAATTTGGGGTACTCGAAAAGGGAATGAGATGATTTTTCTTTTCTTAAAAACACACACACACACACAAAATCACCTTTGAAAAGGGAGATACAAAGATCGGAGAGGTGGCTCAGAGAGCATTGCCTGCTCTTTCAAAGATCCTGAGTCCAATTCCTACCACCCGCACAGTGGCTCACAACCATCTGTAATGACATTTGGTGCCCTCTTCTGGCCAGCAGGCATATGACATGTGCAGACAGAACAGTTTATTTAATAAATAAATCTAAAAAGAAAGAAAGGAAGGGAGTTTTCAAGTTCAGCACAATTTCTCAAGAGCATGTCTCAAAGTTAAAAGAGGGTCACGGACACAGCTCGGGCCTCGACCAGCTTTGTGAAAGCTCTACTCTTGGATTTGCCTAGCATGTGCCACAGAATGAGCAGGAGAAGAGGAAGAGGACCACAGACATGACAATGATGACTCTCCAGCTACAAAGGTGGATCCAAGTGCTTGAGGACCTGTGTTTTCAATCCCCGGTATCCATGTAGCAGCTGGGCCTGGGGCCAGGTGCCTGGAACCCTAGTGCTGGCAGGGTAGATACAGGCGGACGCTGGGGGCAAACAGCATGTCCTAGGTTTAGTGAGAGACCAAGTCTCAAACAGTGTGCAAAGCCATAGAGGAAGACTCTAGTGCCTCCCTTGATCTCTACATGCTTGTATATCGGCAAGTGCACCCTCTCCCAGATAGATATAGCGCACACACCACCCTATCCCCAAATGTGCACAGAAGTTTCCTGCCATGAAAGCATTTCACCACGACTATCATGCAAATCCTGATGGGAGCCTGGGGTTTGATCATTGACCATAAACCACCATCCAGACAGTCACACTCTCAAACTGTAGGAACCATAAGCCACCATCCAGACAGTCACACTCTCAAACTGTAGGAACCATAAGCCACCTTCCAGGAGGTCACGCTCTCAAACTCTGTTTAACTAACTTAGAGCACATCTTCTATCTTTACTTTTCTCTTACCCTGTTTTCCTGCCTGGAGCCAAGCGCCTATTGTGTGTGGTGCAGTGTTTTATAAAATCCAAAGAACAGCTTTTGGTTTCTGAAATGACTACTAAAAGTTACCTTCTTTTACTGAAGCCGTTTATGAGCTTGAAGTACATAAAGGTACTGCTCGTGATTTTCAAACTTGAACAGAAAGAAAAACAAAAACTCTTGAAAGAGGAACTCTGTTCATTTGGCACAACTTTTCCCAAGGAGATGAAAGCAAGCTAGGAAAGCCACATTCTCCCCAAGTCCGGACTGAGGAAACAGTGAGGGTGCTGGGACACTCACAGGAGCACAGACAACGGAAAGGCAAATGCATCACCAAGCCCACCCCAGCGCAGTGACCGCCCATAGAAGCTCTACCCCTGGAACCGTTGGCCCAGCTTGCAGGCAGAGCCACTGACAAGTTTCCTCCACCCCGCCGGTTATTTCCTGCTTATCTGACGGTGGCAGGAACCTGACTGCTTCCGACTGCTGCCTCAGACTGCAACCATCTCCACCACACTTCAGACTGCAGAGAACTCTCTCCTCCAGCCTTATATTCCTCTTACCCAGCCATTACATTTTCGTCTCCACCTCCCTAGTGCTGCGATCCCAAGAGCTGGGATCTCCTTTAGAGGGGATCCATTTCATGTAGCCCAGGGTGGCCTTGAACTAACAGCGATCCCTCTGCCTCTGTCTCTCGAGTCCTGGGATTAAAGCTGTGTGTCACCACTGCCTGGCCTCTAGTGGCTTAGTTCTGCATTCTGATCTTCAGGCACGCGTTACTTGTTAAAACAGAAACAAAAACCCACCACATCTAACTTTGGGTGCGGGAGCAGTACTTGTAGCTTCTCTGAACTTCGCCATCCTGCATCCTCCCTTCCTCCTCCCTCCTCGATGGAATGTCTTAGCAGAGGAGCCAGCTGTGCAATGCATGCATTTGCATCTATTGACTCTCTCTGCCTCTTGTTCCTGTGTCCGTGCCTCTCCGTGCATTTCTATGTGGGTGGTTCATCTGCATAGGAGTGAAAGCACATCTACAGGCTATTTTTTAATATCAAGTGTGTTCTTTAATCATTTCCTCCATCTGCTTTTTGAGACTAGTTCTTTCACTGAGCGTGGAGCTCCTTGATTGTCTAGATCTGACTGGCCAGCAAGCCCCAGCTATCGAGCAGTCTCTGCCTGCCTAGTTCTGAGATTATAGGCATGCATGACTGCACTCATGTTTTTACCCAGGGATCAGTATTCAGCTCTTCATAATCGCATAGCAAGCAGTTTACCAACTGAGCCACCTCCCAAGGCCCTGTATTTATTTTTAAATAACCTCAAAACACAATAACGACACCAAATTAGGAGGTTCATGCACTCTGATGCTCAGTAGGAACAAGAAGATGGACAATGTATTTTACTTTTATTAATGTGTATGCGTGTGCACCCATGTATGCAGGTGCCCTTGTGGGACAGGAAAGGATATTGAAGTCCTTGGAGTCTGGGGAGGTTGTGAGCTACATGATATCGGTGGTTGGTGGGAATCAAACTCAGGTCCTTTTCAGGAACATAAGGTTCACTCCAGTCAATCCCTAGTGCCCCCTCCCCAGGTCCTTGTTTACCAAGACTTTTCAAAAGTTAATCCACTGAAGGAAAAATATTGAGAAAATGACACAGAGAGTACTGACTTGATGGGAGATAATCAGATGTCTGAGAATGCTATTTTTAGTAAACTCAATCCTTTCTTCTCTACAGTGTAATTATATGGCACAGTTGGGGAGAAGATAAAATGAATCAGCCTCACAAGTTAATTGCAGGTGGGATCTGGCCCTGGCCTTTCTGTTTATTCAAAGAAGCCAGAAAAGTAAAGACGTCTTTCTAAGCTAATGTCTTAGAGGCCAAGCCTTCGGTCATCACTTTCGCTCTATGGAATCTGGGGGTGGTGACCTTCTCATTCATTCTCCCCAGCTGGTGATGAGGGATTTCCCTCTCTATGCTGTGAATACCATTGGCTAATAAAGAAACTGCTTCAAGCAGGGCAGAACAGAGCTAGGTGGGGAAAACTAAACTGAATGCTGGGAGAAAGAAGGCAGAGTCAGGGAGAAACCATGGAGCCCCTTCAGAGACAGATGCCAGATGGAACTTTACGTGGTAAGCCACAGCCATGTGGCGATACACAGATTAATAGAAATGAGTTAAATTAAGATGTAAGAGTTAGCCAATAAGAAGCTAGAGCTAATGGGCCAAGCAGTGATTTAAATGATACAGTTTCTGAGAGATTATTTCTGGGCTGCCAGGAATGAACAAGCAGCCTCCTACTACAAGCTACCTGTCATCATGCTTTGACCATGTCAAGCATGCCTTCTCCTCCATGTCTTTGGGCCCAGAATTCCCTCTGCCTGGACCACACTTCCCTCTCATCCACCCACACTGCCTCTCCAGAGCTCTACTCCAGCATCACCTCCTCAGAATGGTCTTCTCCAACCACCACCACCTCGCAGCATCCTCCAGCCTCTACATTCTGCCTTATTTTCTCCACATTTCTTATAATCACCAGACTTCACAGATACGTTTATCTTTTTTTCACCCCACTCTACAGAACATAAGCTCCTGAAGGGAAGAAATTTTGTCTAATTTTATCATAAAATATGTCTTCAATTTTCACGCATATAGCAGGCAACCAGAACATATTTGTTTAATGAATATATGGCTGATATGATGTAATTAGGGACAGTGGTGCTGGAAATTCTCCCTCTGATTCCCTGCATGTGTCTAGGACCTCAATGACAAAACTGAGAATCTCCAGATACTTAGGTCTCTCATATAAAGAAGCACAATGTTTGCAGTTAGCCTTTGTACTTTCTTGTGTTTACATCAAATCACCTATCATAATGCAAGGTAAACATTTTATTAATATTTATTGAACATGGCCAAAACAATGCAGTGTTTTCGCATACTTGTGATGCATGGTTGATTGAATCCATAGATGTAGGATAGAGACTGCCTTCCACTGTCAACACACACAAGGACTAACATTCCAAAAATACAACATTATTTCTTTTCAAAGCTTTATTCATTGTCTGTGTGTGTGTGTGTGTGCGTGTGCGTGAGTGCGTGTGTGTGTGTGTGTGTGTGTGTGTGTGTGTGTGTGACTCCCAACTTCTTACATGAATGCTGGGATCCAAACTCCAGTCCTTGTGTTTGCACAGCAAGCAAGAACTCTTTAATTGTTGATCCATTCTTCCAGTCCTGAATTTAACATCAGTTCTTGATGCTCCAGAGCTGTCCTCATGGATGGGTGTCACTAAAGAAGAGCTAAGGAGTAGCTCACTTGGCCCACAGGAATGTCTAGGCAGCCTCTTCAAAAGCCCATTATTGGGTGTGGATCTATTAGAAAACACTTTAAACCCTCCAGGAACCCACAAGGATGACCCCAACTAAGACTCCGAGCAATGGTGGAGAGGATGCTTGACTGGCCATCTACTGTAAGCAGGCTGGTAACTTCCTTAATTGCCATCA